AACTTACTACTGAAAAAAAAAATCAACCATAATATATAAGAAAACAGAAATAGTTTATGTTGAGCCATAAATTGAACAACTGTCTGCTATCCCGGTGGGGGGAGGGTACTCCCTTATATGGCCTACATGGGGATGTGCCACTGGACAGGGTATGGTTTTCATCCTCTCTGTCCTAAACAGGGTACATAGATTGGCACAAGTCTCTCCTAAACAGGGTATACAATTTCGTGCAAGTCTGTCCTAAACAGTGTGCATGATTTGTGCGAGTCTGTTCTAATTATAAACAGGGTGTTTCATGCATGATCGATTTCGTCTTAGTGCAAACGTTTACAGATATTTAGTACCTCATCACCCAAAGCATTTACTGGAATAAATATAAATGCTATTGTTCTTGGCACCTTTGTCTAGCTAAGATAAGTACAAGTTGACAGGTGTGCTTGATAACCTTGTCCCCATCTGAGGGAGTTGTTGTCCTATCAGGGTACTAAAGTTGAGGGTGTTATCCTAAACAGGGTATGGGTTTCAAACCCTCAGCGGCTCACGTATACCCAAGTATTGGTCGAGTACCCCCACCCCCGCCCCCCGGCCTTCTATCCTATAAGCAAGCTTCGAATTAACTGAGCCATAATTACACAATAATTCAGGGTTGTCATTAAGAGCCAGGGACCGGGGATTTTCCCCGGCTACTAAGAGAGTGGCCCCCGGCTACTTTTATTGGAAAATAGAAGAAAATTAGAACCAAAAGAAATCCCTAGCCGTTTGATTCCCCGCCTACTTGTTGTATTTACCCGGCAACTTGAAATCTTAGTGACAACCCTGATAATTGACTGTATTTGTACCCTTTTTGTAAACGCAACAATCATGTTTATATTGGGAAGTTCAGTAATAATAATCCAGATGGCCAAAACTTTCATATTTTGGCCATTCTTATTCTGAAGTATCCACCTTATTCTGAGCTATCCAAACAGATACTTTGCTATGAATAAGCTTAAGGCAGTCGCGGTACTGTAATTAAACAGACATTGTTTGCTCCTTGCACTAAATTCTTACAAAAAGAACGTGAAAAACAACTAACCTCTATGTAGGCTTTGATCCATATTTTGGAGTAACCATTCGCATCTTGGCCTTTTGTCAGTCTTTGTATACTTATCTCTTTGAACACAACAAGGTCGTGAAGAGTCGGAGCGATTTGCCGAAAAATAATTTTATTCAGTTCCAGTCTCCGAACGGATACCTGATTTTGGAGTATATCCATTCTAGTCACGACCAACGTCTGAATCGACCGGACGTTAATGCCGTCCAGTGACGTCACTACTCCTTGACCTTTGCTTTAATTCATGCGAAAAGTAAAACACGATTTTCAAGTGGTAAACCGAGAAATATCGTTTGGAAATGTCTGCATGATACAGAATTGCTTTATGTTTTTCGATCGTAGTTCATGTTTAGCGTTCAAACTATCAACTGCACGCAGTACAACTCTGAACCGGTTGTACTGAATTCTATAATCAAACTCGGTCGCAATCACGCAATGAAATAAACACACACACGGAATTATCAAAAACACAATGATTTGCTTTAATTGAAAAGAAGCTATTTAGTCGAAGCTATTTAGCTATTTAGAAGAAAAAACAAGGAAACAAGAAAGAAAAGCTAACAGAATCATTACACTTGACGGGAATTATAATATTGATCTCAGAAAACTTCGCGTAAACAAAATCACAGGCCGCCGAAACCACGAAGCGGCTCCAAATGAAAAACCTACCGACTCTCCGCAATGATTCTTCATTCGCAGTTCAATTTAGCATTTCAGTTTCGAAGACAAGAGCAATTTTGCTGTTTAAGATAAAGATTAAGCTTATCGAAATGTTTGAACTACGCGAAAGAATGCCAGGGATGCGATCCGCTGAATATCAAGCGACAATCCCGCTAAAATTTTTCATAATTATACATAATTATGCGAATGTTTAGACAATCAACCAATCAAAATCACTACCCGGTTTTCGGGTAGTGAGTGACGTCACTGGACGGCATTAACGGCCGGTCGATTCAGACGTTGTTGAGAGGAGAAAACGACTCGAAGCAATCGGAAGAATTTCAGGCTAGCTATTTTTCTTAGCAGACAGAAAGTTAATCTTCTTCAAAACTAAACTAAAGAAAAAATAGAAGTTTGGCATTCGTTCAGCAAATGACCGCGTCTTGCATAAATTAAAATTTTATGGTGTCTGTCCTCTCATTGATGATGAAAATTGGCCAATCAGCGCGCGAGAAGTGATTCAGTTATTGTAAAACGTTCGTTTTCACCGCCTTCCTCGTGAAAGAATACTACAGGAAATTCTTGAGATAATTAGCACCCCAAATTTTGACAATCAAAAATCAGTCAATCAAAAGTGCAATTATTAAGATACAAAGAAAAGTTAATTTATATTTCGCATATATCATAATTTGATAAACAAAATGTTTCATTACCTCCGTAAACCTGGCCTCATCCGCTGCAAAAAGAAGAGAAAAACAAAACAGTTGTAAAACATAAAAACTAAATCAAAGAGAACCTATAATATTTATGAGCAGCTTTAAACTTGAAGTGTTCTCCCTCGTTAAACATTTAGTATTTCACTATGAACATGACCAGCAACACATCCAAGCAGAATATATCAATCCTAAAATATGTTATGGTTACTTTTATACCTTGTTTTCACCATAAAATTTTCTTTTTCACTGTTATCATCTCTAAGAAGCCCCGTTCCGAGTATTATACATTAGAAGATCTCTAATCGGCCCATATCTCACTCACTTTACGGTCTCACTTCAAATAAATAACATAGTACGTCGTCATCTCAACTTAAACTGCCCGACCTTTTAGCATATGTAAGGAATGAAAAGGTTAGCAGAACAAAGGACCAAGGATAGAGGATGCCGGCCTTCACGGGAAAACATCTGCCTTGTAAAATTTAGTTGGACTGTTCAATACATTGCGTTCACCATTTGTCCCGGCCGTTAGACTGAAACAAGGCCTACAATTTCGTGGCTGTTACAGCCGAACCCCTTATAAAAAGGCAGGAATTGAGTAAGTTACCAGCTGCAACAAAACTGTACGTAAAGAAAGGGTTTCTCTCAAGTGAGGCCCGATTGTTCTTAGTTTTTTTTAAAAAAATAACGGGCAACTCAGCCATCAATTTCCTTATCAATTTATTTTTATGACCTGTAAATTATTTCTGTTTAATGCTAATGTCAACTGGCTTCCTGGCTCCGCTGGCCTCTATGGTTATTCCAGGCAGCCAGTACTCTAATTTATTTTTAATATTTTCATTGTCTTAATTTACTGTAGAACAAGAGTGAGTACAAATAAAGGTTGTTGTTGTATCATGTCAGCCTCACCTTTGATAGGGAACCATCTCTGGAGCTGAGGAAGTTTGGGTCTCACATGGACAAAACTCTTAGTGCAGTCTTTAAATGACCCATCTGCGGTAACTTTTAGAAGGCACATACAGTACTCGTTGGGGCAAAGAAACTGGCCATGATAATCACATTTTTTTTGCTTCTCCTGGCAAAACGGACATTCAACACACAATTCATAATCCAAGTTTTTAAACCCAGACAGCTCGTGTGACATAGTTTGCATTGTGTGTTCCAGAAATGTTCGCACTTTGATAGCTACGTCTTGCAATTTCGCCGCACCATCAAATGGCGAGTCATCTTGCTGTATTTCATTCAAAATGATCTTGATAAATCGTTTCTTGCATACAAGGATCAACTGGTGATTTTGTTCCTTTCCGATGAAGAATCGAGATGCCCCATCGTACAAGTTAGGCAGTTCGGATCCAGCTGGACAGCACCAAGGGATACATCGTGACACAAGCTGAGAAAACAAACCATAAGGAACAAAACTTCCGAGAAAACGAAGGTATAATGTACAAGGATCTGAAGGAAAAGGCTCAATTTTACCAAGGGCGTCAGGAGGTGTTCGAAGTTGACAGGGAACAAGGTAAATGTCTTTTCCTGGAGATTTGGTAAACTTGACGATCAGACCAAACTGCTCCATCATGTCCAAAATATCATCCTTGTGCTGATGAAACTCATTGCAAAACACGTGATTAACAAGCTCCATATCGAGGACACCTGTTTTCTCAATTTGTTTCCACAACTTGGAATGACTTGGTTCCTGAAAAAAACGAACAGCACCCGGCAAATAAAAAAGCCTGATCTGTATCTACATCTACATCTACAATTCTACAAGTCGGTAAAATCACGAGATATCACACCAACTGAGATGAAAAAAGAAACATAATAAATTATGCACTAAGGTAATGAAAACTAAATAAAACTAATACGCCGGAATATTAAAACCTATTAACTTAGATTTAAAACTATCTACAGAGGTGGTATTTACAATATCCCCGGGAAGGGAGTTCCATTTATAGACTGTTCGTGTGAAGAGAGAAAATTTTCTCTGTGCCCTAGGAACTACAACTTAAAGCGTGGCTTCCACGGGTTGTTCATTCACTGTTTGGTTTTAGATAGGCTGTTACATTTCACACCTATTACAAAACTCCACGAAGCATCCTTATCTATTTTTGTGGTTCTTCGTGAAAAGAATACTTTGCGCGATAAACAATCTCAGACCCCCCAAAAAGGACTGTGCTCTACAAGAAAGAATTATTATTCTAATATACACTGGAAGAAAAGTTTTAAGAAGTTTGCTGAAAGAGGGAGGGTAGCGATGCCTCCGGTGCCAGCACAACAATTGAGACCACTGCTTTTTAGTTTTGCTTTAACAAGAATGTCTTTTAACAATCCGTTCTTCCCTAGGATATTAGAGGAGATTTCTTGAGGATTTTTTGAGCGAACTAGTTTTTCATAACAGCTTGATGGAGGTTGAGCATAGATGGACTGTACTGCGTGTCAAAAGGCAATATTGTTTATGTATCGTTTTGTTTTCTGTAGAGCTGATTTCGTTTCTTACAATGTCTCCCCTTGAGGAATACGTTATAAGGAGTTTATTCTTTTCTCCTTTGATAAAAAGTTTCTTTTCTTCTATAAGGTGGCAAGATGAAAAGTGGGTGTATTGAAAGCTCAGTTAGCTTGAAATGTGTGTGCAGGTCAAGAATCGTTTTAATTTCGAATCTCAACTCTACCTTTGCCAAAATTAAAATTGTAAATATGTTAGGGTGTGAGAAGGGCAGCTAAAGCCATCTCAGCCCTAATCCTCCCCTGTACCTGAACTCAGACCATAACTATATAGTCACATGAAATCAGACAGGGCCAAACGGTTAGCTAGCGGGTTCTCCTAAAAGTATTACATGCACTTGACATTTTGTTTCTTACCGAGTCATCAAAAGGGACAAATGGTTACAAGTTTTTTGAAGATGTCAATCAGCCATTTGGCCCGAAGTACGACTGTGTTGTGGTGCCGGACAATCTTTCCAATGTCATGATAGTAATCCAACAAAGTGACGAGTCATCCTCATTTTCAATGAAGCAAAATTTCCGGATGATGTCTTTAAGTTGATCAAGTTTCAAGTAATGTACATTTTCAGCAGCCAAAGCTTGCACAACCTTCTCGAAGTTGAACCACCTGAAAAACAAATATCAAAATTTCATTCGAACCTTTTTTCGCAGTTATTTCAAAGTTGACGCAATTTAGCCGCTGCACTAATAAGTATGAAACCCTAGAGACTTTTTAAATGGGACAGAAATTACTGATTCGTTAGTTTGGAACTTTTAAAGGGTTTATACAAAAACGGACACAAATATTTTTGGTGTCCACCTTCGGTCAACAGGCAACATTAAGCATGATCCACACACAAGCAGCTCAAAAGGGGTTTATCATTCTTAAGAACGCCGCAGCAGCAGCAGAGAAAGTTTCTTTAAACAGGGGTTTCAAACGACAACTAACCAATAATAACCGCTCCAACACTGTAAACAGTACGCTTGTATCATCCTGCTGCTGTATTTTCCTTATATCAGTGGGCGCAACCAAGTTTTCATCCCCACCGTTCAGAAGATCTCCCATTAATCACAACCCTACTTTTTAGTTAAATTAACCATTAACTTAAATACACTCTTTCTTTATTTAATAAGAACGTCAATTTTTCGAGTTTGGATCGTTTTTATTTTCTGGGCAGTTTCAGCCTGGAAATGTTGTTACAGATTTTCTTAAAGTTCAATAACGGACATTGTGCTAGTGACACTTTTCTAAAGACAGTGATTATATTTTTCACATTAATGGATTGAACAAGTTCAGTGCAAATGTGTTATTGACATACACAATAAGAATGTGATGAAAGAACATAATTTTACATGTACTCTGATTCCATGTAGGAAATTATGAAAGTGTTCAGATTTTCTGGTTTTAGGAAAGTAAAAGCAGTAAAAGACAAATTGTTCTTCTCTGAGCCAGTATGTTCTTAGCATATTCTTTACATTTTGGCAAATTTCAGGCTGAACGTTCTTATGAAAAAAGGTTCTTAGAAAAAAAGAGTGTAAACTAGGAAGAAAATTAAGTTTACTTTGTATTACTTTGGACTGAAAATAAGTGTACCTTAGGGGTATCTCCTCCCCCATATATGGTTCTTTCTTCAAAACTTCGACAATTTTTTTCTGAAGTGCAGCGACCCCCTTATCAGATGATCCTTGCGTATTATCAACTGAAAAGAAAGGGCGGATCACGTGACTTTCGTAGTCTTTTCCGGAAATTTCCTTCGTTATTTGTAATTCCATCTCTTTCACATCCTGATCCTGTTTTCTGTCCGCATGTGTTCCCACTATGAACACTGGTGGGCGAGTGTAAGGCAGATCTGATTCTGACGGTGTTCTTTCATTCGCTTCTGGCTTTGATGAGCAAACTGAACTGAGGGTGACCAACCACGACAACAAATTTTCCAAATTTGTTTGGCGATTTGAGTTCTCAAGGGGAATGTTAAAAAATCCTCGTCTAAAACAAGGCATGGCAATTTCATTTAATCCTTTGCTGAGGTTGTAAACCAGTAAATAAACTGCCCGCCACGAGAAGAAAACTGGGCAAAATGTATAGTAAAGATGTTGCCCGGCAAAGTCCCACAGATCAAGGTCCATGTGGTGTTCAACTGCTGAGGTGTCGTTGTCAAGATTTAAACCTTCCAGATATTGAACAAGGAGTTCCGTAAATTCTTCTGGAGGTAAGGAAGGGTCGATTTTCAGTTCAGGTATCGCAGCTGCTTCTATTTTCCCTTCTCCTCCTTTCTCAGTAGTACCCTAAACCAGATTTTGAAATAGGAGTATCAGTGAGAAGTTGTTGGAGCAAATTAAGTTTAACGCTCCGTATAATTGAAAAAAACGGTGTCAATAACCAAAATGCTCGAATCTGATTTACTCTCAAGATCCAAACTTTATTGTTTGATTTTGCTAATGGAAGGTTGATGCAGCATCAGAACTGTCCGATTTGACCTTTCGCTGCTTGTTACGCAGTCAATACAAAGTTATGCAATAAATATTGCTTGCCAATGACATAACTAATACGACCGTGCTAATAAATCAAAATCAAGGAAAAAAATCTTGTCTGAGCATATTTCCTTGCTTCAAGGTCAAGTTCAAGTTTAATAAAAAATGAATAAATAGACCATATCCGCGATACCGCCATCTTTGCACGTCCTTAGGGACTGATGGGATAAGGGCAATGTCAAGTGGCTTCTCAGGGCGCAACAAGTGATAAAATGACATAGGCCTGTTTCACACGTCGTGCTACTGCGGTGCCGAACTCAATTGATAGAATTTATTCGACTTTGGCACGGAGGTGGCTAGGCTCGATTACCAGCCACTGTTCGGGAAAATGAGCCCGCACTCATCCCCCGAAGGAGGATCAAAGACCGGACACGGGAGACGGCGGAAATTGAGCCTACGGTGGCGCGACGTTTGAAATCATTCAGTTCAGCAAATTGAATTTAGGTCGACACGGCAATTAAATTCGACAGGGTCTGCCGTGCTACACGGCAGTGACACGGCTTGGTTTCGGTTGCCGTGCCGAACTCAATTCATAAATTACGAAAATGTATATGTTTAAGCGTTTTGACTCTACTGTGCCTGACTGCGCATGCTGTAGCTGACCGTGGCGGGCTCTGGGATGAGGGTTTTGACAAAATGGCGGCAAAATGTCAAAGTAGTTCCAGTCCGTACACAATCTCTTTTTCTCAATTTTCTGATGAAGAAGACACAGTAGATTGTGAAATAATAGAGAAACTGACTCCGAACAAGAAAGTTATGACACGGAGAGCGGCCCCGAAGAGAGAAAACAAGAAGACTCGAAGAGGCCTCGCAAGAAAAATAAAACAGTTAAGAAGGGACGGAAATCTAGCTGACATCTTTCTTGCCTTCGTGAAAGGAAAGCAGGAGGAGAGCAAAAGCGCATACTTTAAGAATTAACCTTCTCCTTGCAACAAAATGATTTAAAATGGACAGTACTGCATCAGCTGCCGTTGCCGTCTAGCGTTTAAAATTGTCTCCGGCAAAGCAAATTTCTTCCGATTGCGATCTTCCCTTGAGTTTCTGTCCGCCATTTTGGATGGTTGGAAGGTTTGTTCAGTTTGACGTTTTCTTTATTTTGAATTTGGCGCGACTGAATCAAATTCATCGTTTGAAACCACTCCCGTGCTATTGCCATGCAACTGCCGGGTCAAATTCATTTGAGCTCGACAGGGCAGTAGAAAGACGTCATTTGAAACGGGCCATAGACAGGGGCACCCAACGAGGATATAGTTCAAAACCACTTAACATAGCATTGTTGAACGTATTTTAGTATTTAAACGGTAGATATAGGCATATTTTTATCCCCTAAAAACTTTTCATCTGTTCGGATTTCCTAGCTGAAAGTCTAGTGATCCGAAAATTATAGGGATAAAAACTCACCTTCTCGAAAATTTCAGCCAGGAAAAGGCTGCCGAAAATTCTAGGTGGCCTTTTTTAGGGTCAAAATCCGTTAAAAATGGGTAATTACACCATTTTGTAGATCTTCGAATATCCTAGGAGAGGCAGGCAAGCAAGAAATTTTACAACAAATGCTCCGAAAATTCTAGATCTCAAATCGTCTTCCGAACAGACATTTTCCCGAAAATTGCCGTTGGGTGCCCCTGCATAGACAACAGAAAGTAAAGAACTTTTACAGTCAAACCAGGTGAATCGTTCCCGTCGCTAACGAACTAATAAATTCATTAACGGAAAAATGATTTCGTTTATTGATTCAATAATCCATTCATAAAATGAACAATCCAATATTCATATTTAGCCTCGATTCCATAATCGAATGTTGATTCGATTACTGTTTTTAGATAAACTACACTTTTTTTTCTCCTTTTTTTCTTAGAGTCGAGTTCGGGCGAGTTCTGAATTTCAAACCCAAACAAACTGTTACATGTACGTCATTTTGTTTCCAGTATTCACTGCAACGGACCTGACCTCTTAGGAAACACGATAGTGAAACTAAGGTCAGTGTATGTGCGGTGATTGGTGGATTTCGATCCCCGGCCTTTGTCAGTTTCTTTGTGTTTGCGGTCTGTCTCTTCTAGCTGTTATTTTGATTAAAGGCAATTACAAACGCAGTCGTAAACGGCAGGAAAAGGGAAGCAAAGACGATTGAACTCAACAGACAAGAATAAAGAACAGGTAGATTTTGTTAATAAACCAAATCAACATTTAATTATTGAATCGAGGTCCAATTTGATTGTTCGATTATCCATTTTATGAATGGATTCATTATTGAATCAACAAACCAAATCATCATTCCATTAATGAATTCATTAGTTTGCTAGTGACGGGAACGCTTGACCTGGTTTGACTGTAACCTTAAAGACGATAATGGCAAATTATGGGTAGGAGTGATCATTGTCACATTTTGTATGCAGTAGCAACAACAACACTGAAATGGTTATCTCATTCAAGGGGGAGAAACAAACTCGACCGCAAACTTGTCGGTTTGCGCCCAGACAAACACCATGTGATATTGATTTTGCCCCATCAATCCTACCAGCATGCG